AGAATCCATTTACAAGTCTTGCTACTCTGTTCTGAATAAATTGCAGTGTGGCACCCAAGACAAAATAGAGTACTTTAATAAGATCTGCCATATCTCTTCTCTCCTTTTATTTATTCACTCTGTCACCCAGGCTGAAGAGCAGTGGTGTGATCTCGGTTCTCTGCCACCTCCCCCTCTCAGGCCCAAGTGATCCTCCCACCTCAGTCTCCCAAGTAACTGGGATTAGAAGTGCGCACCACCACACACTGCTAATTTTTGTATTTTTTGTAGAGACAGGATTTTGCCATGTTGCCCAGGCTGGTCTTAAACTCCTGAGCTCACATGATCCACAAGCCTCAGCCTCCCGAAGTACTGGAATTACAGGTGTGAGTCACCACACCCGGCCCATTGAGTCTCTCCTTTTAAATAGGACACTTCTATTTATTCAACCACAGGTTGCATTCATCTTTAAAATGGCTGTATCATCCAGGTGACTGGTATTGATCTTATTCTCAGGCAAGGCCTATAATCTGTTTTTATACATATATTTCAGACAGAGGAAAAGGGGGTACATGCAGCAGGGAATCTGAACTACCCAGAAGTCCTAGTATACTTCCAGTTGCATCTTACTGGCCAGAAATGAACCATATTTCCATCCCCAGCTACAAGAAAATCTAGGAAGATAAATAGCCAGTTGGTCACATTGATACTCCAAATAAATCAGGGTTTTGTTATTGAGTCAACAAGAGCGAATAGACACTAAATAGACACAAAGCAGTTTCTGCTGTAATTTATTCAGGTGAGAGCGTTTTCTTCTGTTTTGCTAATTTTGTTTTGGAGAATGGTAGTTTGACTGATAATTTTTCTTTTTTAATGTGAAATTTGGGTGAATCTCATTAACATACTTTTTCTAATGTTATAACATTCTTAATCATGATTTTTTGCCTTGTTTTAATCCACTGCTAGGCTTTGTTTGGTAATATTTTATAAGAATTTTTGCATCTATATGCATAAATGAGAGAGGCTTAACATGTTTATTTTTCTTGTCTAAACCATCCATCTAGTTTGACTTTCAAAGTTATACTATCTTCATAAAATTGGTTGGGAAACTCTTTCTTTTCTCCTATTCTCTGGAACAGTTTACATGTAATAGAGATTGTCTCTTCCTCTCCTGGGATGCCATCTGGGCCCTAAGTGTTGTCTATATGCCTGTGTGCATGTGATACTTGTATGTAGATATATTACTAAGGATTTTATTTCTTTTGTCATAGATCTATTCAGGTTACCTAATTCTTCTTAAGATCATTTTGATAATTTATGTATTTTTAGGGTATCTTCCATTTAGTCTAATTGTTCATTTAATTGTTTATAGAATTCCTTTAAGTTTTTCATTTCTTATACCAATAACTTTAATCTCTTATATAGATATGTCCCATTTCATTTTAACGTATTTTTAATGCCTTTTCTCTTAATGTTGTCATTATCTCTTTTATCAGTCTTTTTCTAAGAGTCAACTGTTTTATCAATCCTCTCAAGTTCATTAATTTTTTTCTTTTATTATATGCTCTTCATTTTACTTCCTTTGGGTTCCTTATTTCTTGATTGCTTAGCTAATTAATTGTCCATGTTTTTTACATTGTAATATATGCACATAACATTCCATGATTATTCAGTTCACTAATTAGCACTCCTTGGTATATTTGTTCGAAGAGTTACTAATACACCTAATTGTCCTTACTTCCTGTCCATTCCTCTCCATCCAGCCTATGAAGACATTGTGAGAGATTTGGCAGCTGCCGCATCAAAATCCAGGTGCACCGCCTACTGTCTTTCCCTGGTGTATTCACTGTAATAATCCTGGCAGAGGGAAAACAGAGGGTGGTCTGAATTGTCTTTAGTCCTCACGATCACCACCTTATTTTCTCACCATTCACGAATTATCCTTTTAGCACTTACGCACTGGAGGTGCAAAATCTACCTTCTTTATAAAATATCAACAACAGCGATTCCTGATTTTATTTGTAAAAGCCTTTCTCTGAGTGCACATGCAGTGGGTTCTGGCCCCAGGCTCACTGCTGAGGTTTCTGCTCACTCCCTTTCCAGCAGCTGTGCTACCCTTTTCAGTCTGAAATGTATTTTCCTTGACAGAGAAGACCAAAAGCAAATGAGATTTTGAGAACTTCTGATAACTGTTTGTCCTTTCCTTTGCTTTTGTTAGAAAAGGAGCTGAAACAGCATGTGCATTTGACCTTGAACTCTTTTGCAAACTACATTTCAATTCAGCCTTCAGTTTTTCTACTGCTCTTCTTGTAGGCTGATGCCACCTCCTGCTTCCTATTTTAACAGATGCATTTTAAACCATGTCTCATGGAAGATCTCCCAGTGATACTGGACTTCTGTTAACCTGTCTGCTCTCTGTCCGTTTATCTCTAAAATGATAGGGTTGGACTGGAGGATCTGTAGGGGCCAGTCCAGCCCTAAAAGCTGGTCTGTCCTGCAGGAAAGCAGACTGTTTTGTTCAGCTCTGTGCCTCCATCACTGAAACCCATTGATGTACCCCACATCCCCAGAGAACCTTTTGTGCTGGCTGTGACTTCTGTTTCCAAGCCGGAAAAGAAAAATTTTTCCTGAGGGGAGAAATTATGCAAGTAAAACTTAACTTTTTTTTTTTTTCAAAATGGAAAGAGGAGTCATTGGGGGAAGCTGGGAGGAAGCCGTGTGTTAGGACCGTATGTCCTGGGGTCACATCTGTCTTCATCCATTAATCAGGTGACCAGTGTGGGTGCCACTAACCTTCTGAGTCACTGTTTTATCTGTGACTAACCAAAAAGTAGGATAGTACTGTCTCTTTCACTTTAAGGGTAGACGTAGGGGTGACATAATTATGTGTAAAACACATGTAAACTATCAAGTACTATATTAACTTAAGGGACTGTTACTGCTATAGAGATTCTATGCTCCATTCTTTTCCAAAAGAGAAAAATAATATAATACAAGCAAGTTCTGTACTACTTTATCTTTTGTAATCAAAATAAAAGTTATTCAGTGAGCTTTGTTTCTCTGCATAACGGAATTATAGAACTTTGCAGATTTTCTGCTCTTTTGCAATACGTAGGAAATCCTTGCTCCAATATAAAGCACCATTCAGATGTGAGGTATAATTGTTATTTCATAGGGTTCTTTGTCTATTATCTGTTGTCTCTTCACTTTTCAGCATGTCACAAACATGAACTCAAACACACAGTTCATTTTCATAATGAGAGCTTTCTGATGAACGAAGTGGATGATTGTTCAAAGGTTTTTTTCTTTAAGCAATTTCCATACAGACATAAGCCATGTTCCCCCTAGGCACCTTGAGACTTGCAAATCAAGATTACAGGAAACAGCTTTCTCACCGCTCTATGGCAAGACATCTAGACCAGGTATCCCAACCACATGAAAGTTTGTCCTTGTATCCAACAGCATGGGCAAGATGCATGCTCTTTCTCAGTCATCCACAACCTGTCTGTGAAATATTAATATACATTGCAGACACAAATCAGGCATCTGACTAAGCTCACTCTGAATTGTCCTTTCAAAGAGACATGCTAACTTGGTATAGCTTTATGATAGCTTCTCACCAGCCTCTCTCATAAGATCAGAGTTTTTGGCTGCCTGCTGGACACCTGCTTCTGGATTTCCCACAATACCTCATACACTCAAGAAGATAAGACACAGCTTTTTCCCCAAATATGATCTTTGTAACGTGTTCCCTAGAACCATGTCCCCATTTACTTGGCCTGGAAACTTTGACCGTATCTTGGGCAGCTCTTGTCTTTCCGTTCTCACTTCTCCACTTCATTAGTGTCCCTCATCACCTCCAGATTAGATTAAATTACTACAAGAGTCTTTGATTTCAGCTCCTGAACAGGTTTTCCTGCTTATATTCTCTGGCGTCTCCAATTGGTCCTTCATGCTGCCCCAGAATTACCTCCCCAGAATTCAGGTTGGTCCATGCTGCTGCGTTGGTGGCTCCCTATCATCTAAGGAGTAAATTCCTTCTTCTTTAGCATAAGACTCCTTTTGGGTTTTTGTATTATTAGTTGGAAAGTATTCAACTAGATATTATGGAATACTCAATACTCACTCAAAAGTGACTTAAACAATGAGAAATATTTATTTTCTCACCTAACAAAAAATCCAGAGGCCTCAGGATCCAGGCCTGGCTTATTCAGCAGCAGAGCATGGGTACCCAGGTGCTTTCCCCTTTCTGCTTTGTTATTGTCAACCAGCATGTGGCCTTTTATCCTTGGGCCTCCCCATTTGGTGAATGCCAGTGGCCTTCCACAGCTCAGACATCACATCTCCCTCACATAACTGCGGAAACACACATTCTCTCCTCCTGACAAAACCTGCCCCCTTGAGCTCCCTAGCAAATTTCCCCTTGTATCTCACACACCAGGATTATATCCCACTCACATGCCTATTAATCACAGACAAGAGGAAGGGGACTGTAGCTTAAGCAAATCAGTATCCATAATCTGACCCTAGGACTCTTCCAGCAAGAAAGAAAGTAGGCAGGGGAAAGGGTTAGGGGAAGCCAGTATTAGCATCTGCCATGCTCCATCCTTAGCAGCCAGCCCCACCCACACACTTCAGGCCCCCTGGAGTTATCACCACTCTCAGAAGTCAGTGCGTATTTCATTTCTCCATGCATTCCCTTTCCCCTTACACACGCCTGCAGTGCCTTTCTGCCTTTAGAAACACTCAACTCGTCATATCTGTTAGGTCCCAGCTTCTGATGCACCAGTCAGCATGAATCCTCCACAAGGCATGGTGTTTATAGTGCATCCCTCACTTTTGTTTCTTCCTGTCTATGTTATGATTGTACATATGGCTTCTATTCCTGTAGATTATGTGGTCCCTATTTTAGTGAGCCTTGTCCCTCCCATAGCCCTTAATCACAGTATCTTAAATCTAGTAATAAATGATTGCTAAATCAAGGTGCATGTGAATTAACATTACAGCTGTTTGTTTTGCAGGTCTGTGCTGCCAACATAGTCTCCCAAGATGGTGAACAGAATGGTCTCATGGGGAGAGTAGATGAAGGTGTAGATGAATTTTTCACCAAGAAGGTGACCAAAATGGATTCCAAGTGAGTTCAGAGTAATTTCACTAATAATGCTGTTTAATTCATATTTAAATTAGTAACAGTTGCATTTTATATATGGAAATTACTATTCTGACAGCCTGCAAAATATGGTCTCTGGGCCGGCAATACCGGTGTCCACTGGGACCTTGTTAGAAATGCAAACTCTCAAACTCCTACCCCAGACCTACTGAGTCAGAAGCTCTGGAGGTTGAGCCCAGCAATCTATATTTTAATAAGCCCTCCAGGTTATGCTGAGGCATGCTCCAGTTTGAGACCTATTGTACGATTCTAAACCAGACCACAAAATGTCCAACCCCAAGATTCTTCCAGGGTTTCATCACTTGGATAGTTCCATTACAGGGGACTGATCATGGCTATGCTGGAATTACTTACTTTGAGCTTCTCCTTGTTCATAATTTGATTTATGGGGTTGGGGGGCTAAGTCATTGCTAAATGGTGTGATTTAACAGACAGTGTCAAAATGACAGCAAAATTAGTAAAGAGCCCTCAGAGTTAGCATTTTCTGAAGAGTTTTCTCCTATCTTCTTGCTACTGAGACAGTTCCCTTAGAAGATAGTTCAGTGGTACTTTTGTTAACACTTCTTTAACTTGAAACATTTCAGTCTTTAAGCATGATTTGTACCACGTTATTTAATCCTCAACTAAATACAAATCTATCCCAAACTACGCTCTTAACATGGATTTGTCTTTATGAAGATTCTTCACCTTGAGATACCAAATTCAGGAACAAATGTAAGCCAGATAAGCCAAAGGCGGCAGGCTGGGCACAGGTAGGGAAGCAACTAATCAATTCTAGTAGATGGATGTGCCTTATCTTGCCTCGGCGGGATGGTGAAGTGGCAGTGAGTTAAATTTTTATATCCATAACAGTGTAACTTACTGAATCTTATAACCTTTAGGACCCAATTATTTGTCTTCTTTGACACTGGCCTTGAAGCTTAGCATACTATACTTAGCAAAATTTTCTTCTCCTATCTTTCAAGAACCAACCTAAATATCATTTATTCTTTGAAGCTTTTCTGGGACTGCTCCTCCCACCCACCCCTGAATTAATTGCTGTTTCTCTACTGCTAACTTACTACTTTTCTTTCCATCCTTCACACACATCTGTTAAAGCCTACGTCATCCTTTAAGAGTTTGTTGGATTTTTAATTTTTTTACGACTTAAGGAATAGATGAATGTGTTTTCAATGTAAAAGATTCAAGAAAAACCAACACAAACATATTGCAAAATGGGAAATTGCTGTTAATTATTTGCTTTCAAGTCTTTTTTCCCAAATAGAATGCTATTCTTAAGGAGCAATACCTGGGCCTTATTTTGTTATAGCTTCAATGTCTAACACAGCCCATAATATATAGTCTGTCCTCAATTAGTGATGGTTGAATGAGTGGAGAAAATCTTGACTCGTCTCCATATAATTTATAGATACCATTGTTTACTCTTGTCTTTTTAAACTTCTGAAATTTATATTCAGTTAGTGGGGTGGTTTATAAGCATTCAATCCAAACTGTACGTATTGTTAAACCTGCCCCAGTGTGATTTCCTCTCCTGTTAATACTACTTTCTTCTTTAATAGTCTCTGAATGAAATTTGGGTAAATTTTGTAAGGTATAAAATATATTTTTTAATAAAGATACTGCTCAAGGAAGATTCTGTTCCTGTTTCAGTGCACAAATAGAACTAAATACATCAATTTTCATCATCAGATAATATGATGGAATCTACTAAGTTGTGATTTTAAAATTTTTTATAAATAGATTGTCAGTCCAGTCTTTAAAGGTCAAGGGATAGGTAAAATCATGAAGTAGTATGAAGAAAGTTTGAAAATCAAAGTTATACATGCTCATAAAGTGTCAGATGTTCTACGAAGGCCTAAAAAATGTTCCTTGTTATTTTCCCACTCCCTGTTCCCCAGAAGCAACTAGTTTTTATTCCTTTAGCTGTTTCTTCCATTTGTCTTAATAGCATACTTTCTTTTTTCTTTCTGTGTTTCATTTTTAGGTAGTACTATAACCATTAACTTCTTACTTAGATGATGATAATACAGACCAAATGTCTCTCATCTGAAATGCTTGTGACCAGAAGTGTTTCATATTTGGGATTCTTTTTTGAATATTTGTATTATACTTGCTGGTTTTATATCCCTAATCTGAAATTCAAAATGTTCCAATGAGCATTTCTTTTGAGCATCATGTTGGTGGTGAAAAAGTTTCAAATTTTGGAGCATTTCAAATTATGGATTGCAGATACTCAACCTATACACTCTGTCACCACACACACACACACACACGCACACACACACGTACTTAGGCACACACATGTACTTAGACACACACACTTTTCCTTGCCTCATCTTTATTTAATTTTATCATGATTAGTGTCTTAGTCTGTTTCTGTTGTTATAACAAAATACTTGTGAGTGGGTAATTTATTTTGTTTAGCTAATGGTTCTGGAGGCTGGGAAGTTCAAATTTGGGTGGCCACACTGGTTGGCTTCTGGTGAGGGCCTCCTGCTGCGTAATGGCATGGCAGAGAAGTGAAAGGAGAATTGAGTGTGTGCAAAAAGAAAGGAGGGGTAAAGGAGGCTGACTCACTTCATAACAACCCAGGCTCTCAAGAACGTATCCATTCCCATGAGAACTAATCCAGTCTCAGTAATTGATTTTAATAACCTAATCACCTCTTTAAGGTACCAACACCCAATACTATCAAAACTCATGTTGAGCCCAAGTCTTAACATAAGTTTTGATCGGGACAAACCACAGCAGTTGGTTAGATCAATATTGAGTGTTTGCTTCATTCTAACCATGTAAATATTAACAACTGTGTTAGATTGTATACTGTGATTACATTTTCTTTCTATAGAATTTTTTGTTTTCCTTAGTGTTAATAATTGTCCCCTTTTTCATTTGCTTTGTTTTCTGCATTCCTTTCACTGACTTATCTCCTAAATGTCCAGTGAAGATATAAATTTCCTTTCAATTTGTTCAAGTATTCTCAGTTTTTTTTTTTTTTTTTTGGACACACGTCTTACCAGCATCTGACCAGCTCCAGTGTGTCCTCTAGGTCCATCCCACTGCTGTCTTCTGGGATCTCCCTTCATCATCTGCTGGGGGATTCCCTTCACCTCATCTGTGTCATTTTTCTATTTCCATTGGCCCATGTTGGTCTTAGTTTATGCCCCTGTTTTGGTGGAGCACCTTCTTGAATTGCTTCCTAAGAGAAGTTTGGAAAACAAGTTTCTGTAACTGTTGCATATCTTTCATTTGGATTAATAGTATCACTAGGTATAGAACTATAGGTTGGTTTTCCTTGTACCTTAGCATTTTGATAGCTTTGCTCCATTATCTTCTAGCTTCCGGTGTTGCTATGAGAATCTGATGTCGACTTGAGTCCTGATCTTTTGTTTCTGACTTGCTTTTGTTTTCCCTCTCCTCTGGAAGCATTTGGGATCTCCTCTGCATTCCCAGTGTACTGAAATTTTATGATGATATGTGCCCTGAGGTGGATTTTTTATTTTTTAATTTTTTTAAAAAACCGATTTGCCAGGCACTTATAAGCCATTTCAATCTGGAAACTCATGTCCTTTGTTGCTGAATTTTTAAAAATTATTTATTTCATAATTTCTTCCTTTTTTCTCTGTACTTTTTTTCTTAAACTTCTATTATTATTATTTGAGATAGCATCTCACTCTATCACCCAGGCTATAGTGCAGTGGCGTGATCATGGCTTACTGCAACTTTGACCTTCCAGGCTCAGGTGATCCTCCTACCTCAGACTCTTTTAACTGGGACTGCAGGCATGGACCACTCCTCCCAGCTAATTTTTGTATTTTTTGTAGGGATGGAATTTTGCCATGCTGACCAGGCTGGTCTCGAACTCCCAGGGTCAAGCAGTCTGCCCACCTCAGCCTCCCAAAGTGCTGGGATTACAGGCATGAACTACCATGCCCAGGCCGTTATTCAGATTTTTTATTTCCTCCGTTAATCCACTGATTCCTACCTGTTCTCTCCTATTTTTTTTTTATTCTTTATATTCCTTTTTTTTTTTCTGGAATATTTCCTCAGTTGTGTCTTCCAACCTTGAGTTTTCTACTTCTGCTATCACATTTTGCTATTATTCATGTTGGTGGACACAATATTTTTTTCTCTTCCATGTTGAAAAGGAATGGGGCACCAAAGAGCTTCTTGGAAATTTGTGAGTAGAGCTTGTCGACTGGTGGGCTTCAATGTATGGTGGTCTTCCTGGACCATTTTGTTGGGGGAGAGGGTATCCTTGACTCTCAGAATCTTTAGGTCTTTTCTGTTGAGCTTTGGAAACTTCGATCTCCTGCCTGGCAGGTATAAACCTGCCTGCCTGATTGTGGCATGCAGGGTGAGAAAAAGGGTCCCGGGGGTGTCACTGCTCATTGTGCAGGCTTTCTTGAGCCTGCCTGTTTCGTGATCCTCACTCAGCTCAGCTGCATTTGGTGTCCCCCAGCTCAGCTTCTTTGGTTCATTCTCTCCGGAGAGTGAACTTGGGTGTTGGGATGGGCATCATTGGCTCTGTGGTTTAGGGAGAGGATCTGATGAATTTCTGAACAGGCTTCACAAAGAAGAGAACCTTCCTGTCTTCATTTCCCCTTCACTTCCACTTGCAGAGGTACCTGCATCTCCTCATTCTGAAGCCAGCACAAATCACATGCTTCTGGGTCTCCCCGACTGTTGGCTTAGGTTTCAGCTTTCTCTGATCTATTAAGTCAATTTTCACACATATCTAGCGTATTTTGGCTTCCAAATTTTGTTGTTTCTGCCTTTTCTCCCCTATAGGGCTTATACTTTCTTTTATAAATCCTTTGCTATTATTTTAATGGAGATTCAGGGGAGCTAAGTGGATATTCAGTCTGCCAGCTTTAAATGAGACAGTTGTCTGTGATACTTCCTACTTAGCTCATTTCATTGACTGTTTCTCCCTTTCCATTTCCCAAGTTTCAGCATATTCTCCCTCTGAAAACTCTCTCCCAGAGCATACTCTCTGCCTTTTTGGAACCAAACTCAGGTTTAGCTGCTTGCCGCTCAAAAAGCCAAACACGTGCGAAGCGAAGTTTGATTTATGCAAGTGACGACAGCTTGGGAGATGGCCAGACTCAAGTCCCAAAAAGCCATCTCAAAATTTTCAGGCTGGCTAAAAGGGTTTTAAGGTGAAAGGCGGCATGAAAACTCTGCACAGGAGTGGTGTGGGATGCCGGTGTGTTAGTTGTTTTCTGATGACTATCTTGAGTAATGGACCATTTGGAGGTCTGGTTGGTTTCCTCTTGGCAGAGGTTAGGTTATGGATTAACTACGTACCAATTTCTTCTCGGAAGGGAGAAAATTGCACCACCACCTCTGCTTTATGCCTGGATTGTTTCAAGATTACTCTTTGGACTTCTCAAGCAGAGCAGGTAGTTAGATACATATATAAAACAAGAAACAAAGGGAGGGAGGAGTTACTTTTAGAGTAAGCTAGCACACTGGCTGTACCAGTTACATTTTCATCTTTCATACATAATGTTTGCGCACCTCAGTTTTCTCACATGTGAATATGATGATGATATTCCACATTCCTTTCTGTTTCCTAAAGGTAGTAACTCAAATCCGCTTTTAAATGTGCTTCTGAATGGTTACTGTATATGTAGCAATCTCCATATTTATATTTTGACTGATTCTTGCCGGAACTTATTTACAGTAAAAACAACAGATCTGTGTCTTGGTTTGAAATGCAGGAAATGGTCAACAAGAGGCTCAGAGTCTCATGAACTTAATGAAGGAGGAGATGAAAAGAAAAAGCGAGATTCTCGGAAAAGTAGTGGCTTTCTCAACTTAATCAAATCCCGGTCCAAATCTGAGCGGCCACCAACGATCTTGATGACAGAAGAACCCTCCTCACCAAAAGGGGCTGTCAAAAGTCCGCCTGTGGACTGTCCCAGGAAGGACACAAAGGCCACCGAGCACAATGGCAATTCTGAACGGATAGAGGAGATAAAAACACCTGACTCCTTTGAAGAGAGTCAAGGGGAAGAAATAGGGAAGGTGGAACGGAGTGACAGCAAGAGCAGCCCACAGGGAGGGCGGAGGTATGGGGTCCAGGTGATGGGCAGTGGTCTGCTGGCAGAGATGAAAGCCAAGCAAGAGCAGAGAGCTGCGTGTGCACAGAAGGTAAGGGTGGGCCTCTTTTTAATTAATTCATTTTTTTGATATATAATAGATGCACATATTTTCAGGGTGCATGTGATATTTTTATATAAGTCCATCACCTTAAACATTTAACTTTCCTTTATGCTGGGAATATTCAAATTACTCTCTTCTAGCTATTTTGAAATAGACAATAGATTATTGTTAACTAGAGCTACCCCACTGATCTGTCCAATACTAGATCTTGTTTCTTTTATCAGCTGTGTTTTTGTACCCATTTTGCACCTCTTTTCATCTCCCCCCATGCCCCCACACTTCCTGCCCTCTGGTAGCCCCCAATCTACTCCTTGTCTTCGTGAGATAAGTGGGGGTTCATTTTTGACTTAGTTGTCCTTGTTTGTGTTTTTGCCCTCACTTGGTTTATTTGGGTGAGAAAATAAAAATAGCCTGTTGGTTAAATAGAAATCCAAAACTATAACTTACTGCTAAAGAACCTGCAGTACAGACCCTAAAGAAATGGCCACGTTTTCACTTTGGCCTGAGGGTCACACTCTTGTGGAGTGCCAGCATTCTAAGGTAGGCTTTGAAGACCCCAGTCTTTTCCCACCTGCCCAGGGGACTCCTGTGCATGTCGTGGAAGCATGTCAGAGATGTTCCCGGGTCAGGGGAAATGCTCATGTCTGGGGGAAAAGACTTACTCCCTTTTCAAACCTAAAAATTATTCTCTTTTCAAACCTAAGAATGCCTTGCTATATTCCAGATCTAAAAGACAGAAGAAATAACAGTCAAGGTATTCTATTAGAATTAATTGAATATTTGCCCATTGATATATATCATCTGTTGCTACAAAGAAAAACTTCATAGTTTAAAATTTGCTGAGTTCCCCCAAAATCTGACTTAAAACATTATTTGTTCTTTGAACCTCCTTTTAAAGTGTTAAGGAGTCTTTTTCACTTTCCTTTTTACCTCTGTTTTCTCCTGTCACTGCATGAAGGATTGTATCCGTGTGATAAAATGAACATACCCTTGTGTAAGTCAGGTTATGGCTTCTGTGCATTATCTTGAGCTCCATTATTTTTACACAACTGGTTCTCCAAAGAAAGGATATCACCTGTCTATTTTATTTGAAGTACCACAATAAAACAGTTCATCCCGGTGAGCCCTTGCCTTTCAGAAAGTAAACAATTAACTAATGGCAGGTGTAGGGAGCTCTTTTATATGGCTTCTAAACAACCAATGTTTAAAAATTAAACTCCACTTCCCACCTGATTTTACAACTATTCACCAAAGTTCTCCCACCAACATCAACATTATTTAGCAATTCTCTAATTATAGATCCCTCCTAACTCACTGACAAACCCTTAGAGTTGGGAGAGACCACATAACTACATCCTGCTCACTCAACAAAGGAGGCATGGTGTGACCCTCACTGGTCAGAATTCTGGATAATACTACAACCATGTCATTAGTGAGTCAGATGCCAAAGGAAATGTTAAAATTTTAATGCATGTTGTGAATTTCTTTATAATAGTGAATGTGCGGTTTTCATTAATATGCTGTTTATGTTTTTCATGATTAACAGTTTCCTTTTGGTGTAAAGATGACATGTGCTAGAGTGTTTTATTCATGTACTTTGGATTTGATATCTAAATCAGCTTAAAGTGACAAAATCTTTATGGTTTTATATTTGTTTAGGGTTTACACAGTATTAATGATCTCTTAGCGCCATCTAGTGTGGGTTTAAAACCACCATTGTTAAAAATTATTGCTATTTAAAATTCAGTCATGGGTCTTCTGTCAAAATCATTAAATAATACAGTTTTTCAAAAATTCGCTTTAGAACATTTTTTTTCTAAAGTACCATGACTGTATTCTTTATAAAGGTAGCAACAATTAGCATCAATGATCAGGATACTGTTGATAAAATATATGATGTCCTCACCCTCCTCTGAGTAATTCTCTTTGCATTGTTGGTATTTTATATATTTGGCATTATATATATAATACTTACAGTTCTTTTTCTATATATGTATATAGAAGACATGACACTTCATTTATTGACAAAAGAAACAATCAGTGAATACTTAAAGTTCATGTATTTTCCTCTGGGGCCTCCAAGACATCTGTCTACACACAAAGGCCATGGGCATTATATTATTTTATCCTTATTCCCCACAGTCAGCTTGGGATTTATAAATAACTTTAAAAATATGGGAGGGAAAAGAAAACAACTCCCAGGATTGTTTTAGAGATGCAGGCAAATGAGGTGCCCCGGGTACAGAGTTTAAGGAGGTCCTCATTTTCAGGTGCCTGCCCTGCACTTGGAGGAACCTGAAAGGGAAGGATGTGGAAGGGGACTTCATGGATGGTCCCCAGCCCGGTCCTCCAGGCACTTGTCCTGGGCACAGAGGGCTGACATGGGGCCTCCTTTTTAGGAGATCACTTTTCCATAGTGAAGCCAAATAATGTGCCTGTTTTAGCTGCAGTGCTTGTAGACACATTTCCTCCTGGACACCTGTTCAGCACCTTGCACTCATGACAGTGGAACTTTTGTCATCTTCCTGAGAAATTCCTCAGCCTTCCTGCCCCTTGGGTGCTTCCTTCTGATAGAGCCGGCACTCCTGGGAAGTGTGTGACTGGAGTAGATTGATGATTTCAGGGAGTGAGGCTTTTCTCACCTGCATTTCAAATAATCCTTCCTGTGTCATCAAACACAGTTTAAAGTTAGGAATTGGCTGGCTGCAGAGCTTTTGAGGTTTGTCAGAAGCATGAGATGAGCAGGAACCAGTAGTCTGAAGGTCAGACTGCCTTGGGAATCATCATGCCTCCTGGTCTACTGGTCCACCTTGTTTTTGCCTGTTAGATAAGAGGTAGATGTAGACCATCTTTGTCAATATAATTCTTAGATATTATGACGTAAACACCAGACTTTGCTTTCTATATCTTTTTTGGTATCTAAATGCCTCAGTCTAGTGTAGACTTTCTAAACTTTCCACTCCTACCCCAAGACAGTGGCATTTTACTTTCCCCATCATCACCATCTTCACCATCACTAATTCCTCCCACCTGCAGATTTTTAAAAAATTTGTTCAGTCCTATTCATCTGTATTTGCCTCCTAAATAATAGATCTGTGTCCTGTGATTCTGCCTCAAAGCAAGGAAGACCTTGCCTGTTTCAGGACCCCTTTCACCTATATTATCATTGAGGTTGGAAAGGTTGCTGCTGCATTGAAAATTATATATATATGTATTTTTAATAGATAAGGTCTTGCTCTGTCACCCAGGCTGGAGTGCACTGGCACGATTATAGTTCACTGCAGCTTCAAACTCCTGGGGTTGGTCAGGTGATCCTTCTGCCTCAGCCTCCTGAGTAGCTGGGACTTCAGATGCATGCCATCATGCCTGGCTAATTTTTCTATTTTTTGCAGAGATGGGGGTGGGGGAGTCTCACTTTGTTGTCTAGGCTGGTCTCAAACTTGTGACCTCAAGCAATTCTCCCATCTCAGTCTTCCAAAGTGCTGAGATAGATTACAGCCACTGCACCCAGCCAAAACTAGATTTCTGGAAACCAGACCTAGAGCAGATTCTGTCAATTTCTGGTGTGTAAGGGCCCTCATCACATAAAGCATCAGGGGCTGCAGAGCTGCATAGATGTTCAACAAGAAAAACAGTAAAGGTCACCGAGCCCACTGACTTTCCCTGGCCCTGTGCACTTCTCTCCTGTGAGGAGCCTTCGGAGGAACCAAACCGGCCACACTTTGGACCCCACGGCTCTGACCGTAAACACAGAATAGAATGTGTTTCTCACAGCTTTGTCCCAGTAGGAGAGCCTACGGAGGCAAGTCAGGCACAGTCACCGTAACAGCAGCTGAGTTAAAGAGCCCTTCTTTGCTGTCATTTATTACCTGCATTGTTTTTTCACTTTTGCATTAAATAAATGTGCACTTTTTTGAGGGATGGTGCTTAAATTTTTCAGAAGCTTGGGAATGATGCCCTATCCCACGATTCTTCCAGCCCAGCCTTGAGCAGCGTAGAACGGTTGGATGGAGGTGGGGCAGGTAAGTCAGGCAATTGCCATCATCCCTTCGGAAAAGTGCTTACCTTCTGATTGCAGGAGTCACATGTGATTGACAGAAGAAAAATTTAAATGGGGAGGCAAGAACCGATCTCTTTGTTGTGTGTTCTCAGCTACCACCTGAAAGACCACATCCCTTACCTACCTTCCCCTGGGGTGCATCCTGCCCCACTGTAGCATTGTGCCTGGACAGGGCACTTTTTGATTTCCCAAAGGGAGGAAATTCTGACTCTTTTTTTCACTGCAAACTCCTCAACTTGGAGCATTTTGGCAAAGTTAGGGGTGGGGGCAGCATACAGGATCATGGCTGATGTATTTAAGAATAAGCCATGCATGATATATGGAAGATGGGTGGCTGTCTTATTTGGTGTGAAAATATGCTTCCCTTGCAGCTTGAATATGCATGAAATCCAATATCACTTGTCCCTCTGACTTTTTAGGTATAATAAAATAAGAAAATACCTTGGATGAAAACTGGAGAGTAATGTGTTAACTGTGTGATAGAATCCTCATTTTGCTATTTGAGATTCTTATGCATAGCTACAGTATCTTGGTGCAGTAAGAGTTGGATGATAAATCACATTTTATGGGCTTATTTTTACCAGTTGTCTTGTTAAATTAAGGCAGCAGTATGGATGGAGGTGGGGGATGAGATGACATTTCTGGAGCTGTTCTCACTAAACATGAGATTGCAGCCATCAGCATCGCCCTCCTCTCTTAGAACCTGCAGCCAGAGCCCTAACCGCTTGTTGTCCAGAACCAAGGCACTTCCATTTGGTTATACCTGTACCTTGTGCCAGATCTGAGAAAGACCTGAACACTTCAAATGCCTGAAGAACCACTGTTTTCCTTGTATGTGATTACAGCACTGTACACTATTAAATGTAAAAGGTTGTCAACCCTGGAATAGTCAGGGGTGATCAGAAAAGAACCAAAAAGTTTATTGCTTTTCTACAAAGAACATTACTCTTCCTCCAGGATGTTTTGATTTTAAAAACATGCTAGAACAGCATATTCTTAAGATATTCTTAAAACATCCGTGATGAGAAACAATGGTAAATGATTATAGCGGTTTGTACCAGACTTCTAGTTTCAAGTTACTGGCTTCTTTGACCTTTGATTAATTTTAAAGTGGCCTTTTTCGTCTTAGTGCCTAAACTGCACCCAGGTCTTCCAGAGAACCGCTTTGGTTTGGGAACACCAGAAAAGAATACCAAAGCAGAACCCAAAGTGGAAGCAGGTTCCAGGTCTCGGAGCTCATCCAGCACACCTACAAGCCCGAAGCCCCTCCTGCAGTCCCCCAAACCCAGCCTGGCAGCACGGCCCATCATCCCACAGAAACCAAGAACCGCCTCACGGCCTGGTAAGAGTTTTGCAGTTAGGGAGTTGCATTGTGACCAGGTAGCTTCCCAGAGCCATCTGGATCAGATGCTGCAGGTTGTTTCAGGGGCAGCTAGTGAGCAAGGTACAGCGGCTTCTGCAGGAGGGGATCACAAGAAACCTGTGCAAAGCTGTGAAAGTGATGAGAGCTGAGGGATTCCTTTATTCAATGCTGAGCTCCACCATGTGTCAGAGCTGGGGACTCTGAGACTATCCTTGCTTTCAGGGGTACAGGTTGGTTGGTAGGCAAGACAGGGACATCCGTCTTTTGTCATGTTGACCCATCTGCAGTGCTTGGCTTGGCTTTCTGATACTTGTCTCCAGGGTGTTCAGACACTGAAAAGCAGCAGTTTAAGGATGAAGGCTACAAACGGGGAAAGCACAAGCTCTTCAGTTTTTATGCCGTATTCTATGATGTATCAAGGGTTTAGAACAAGACTTGGCAAACAATGGGCCTGTTTTTGTAAATAGTTTTCCCGGACACAGCCATACGATTTGTACTGGTGTCATCTGGGGCTGTGGCTGTGCTACAGTCACCGAATGGTGTGCTTGCAACAGGGCCATATGGCCTGCAAAATGTAAAATATTTACTCTTGGGCCCTTTACAAAAAAGTTTGCTGACTATTAGTTTAGAAAATCTAATGATAGAAGAAACTTAAAAATATTAGAAATGGGTTGGTCTTCACCTTATTCTCTCCTGCACAAAAGAAGTCCTAGTGTGGTAGTGCACACCTGTAGTCCCTGCTACTTGGGAGGCTGAGGTGGGAGGATCATTTGAGCCTAGGAGTTTAGGCTGTCATCACACTGTGACCACACCACTGCACTCCAGCCTGAGTGACAAGACCCTATCTCTTAAACACACACACACACACACACACACGCAATTTTTTTTAAATTTAACTTTCCATTGTAAGAATTTTCAAACATACACAAAAGTAGGATAGGTAATATAACGAAAGTTACATCAATTCTTCACCTCTTCCCCTTGTTCTCCCACAAAAATTAGTCAAACAGGGATAAAAATAATATAGTCACATCATCATCATGGCTAATCTTTGAGCACTTAACTGTGTCCTTGGCACTGTTGTAAGTGCTTTATGATGAACTCTCAATATCCTCATCACTGCTCCGTTTTGCAGATGAGGAATTTGAGGCATGGAGATACTGAGTTTGCCAAGTCATGCAGCTGGTGTGTCTGGGTAGCCGCCAGATGTTCTGACTCCACCAGCTGTCTTGGTTACTGTGTTTCTATTGACCTCTCCCCCATGGACATGCATATTGTAAAGTAAGATGCGCAGGTCATCCTAATAATTTATCAATGTGCAGATGATTTGGGTAGAATGAGCAAAAAGGTAGAATCCTGTGTGTCCAAACTTCTTCCACTTGTGGTTCTTTCCCATGTTCCCTCATGTATTTTTTTCATTTCCCGGGTGGCCAGCCTGGATGACACTCCCTGGTCTTCATAGTCCATTGGTCCCTTGAAAAAACCAGTAAACCATCTCCAAAGAGAAGCACAAAGAAGGAGGTGTACTGGCTTTACCTCAAGGAACTAAGCCTTGAAACAAACCCCTGAGTACTTCCTAAGTCTACTCAAACTTTTTCCCAAACCAAAGTTCTTTATGATGGGGAACACAAAAAATTTATTGGTACGCACACAATGTCTTCATGTAGAAGGAGTGGAGAGAATGAAGGCAGAGAAAATGGAAAAATGTTTTAATAGAAAGCAAAGCAAATAAGTTCTCAAAAGGAGGCTTGCTCCTAGCATTGTCATCAGCTAGGTGTGTCTCTAGTCTACAATAAAGAAACAGTTCTTATAAAATGAATCTAGTTTGTAGAGTAACTAGTTTGTAGAGTACAGTAGGCCCCTGTTATCCAAGGTTTTGCTTTTTACAGTTTCAGTTATTCATGGTGCAGATATTGAGAGAGAGAGAGAGACCACATTCAGATAACTTTTATTATAGTATATTGTTACAATTATTCTATTAGTGGGTTTTAGTGTTAATATCTTACTGTGCGTAATTTATACATTAAACTTTATTATAGGTGTATGTGTAGGAAAAAACACAGCTTATGTAGGGTTCAGTACTATCCATGGTTTCAGACATCCACCAGAGGTCTTGGATTGTATCCCATGTGGATAAAGGGGGACCACTCCCTAGTTTCTAATGCTGAATATAAAACTAGCTGAATTCCCAATATTCTGTTGCAAGCAGTTTTATTTTGTTTATTTAGTAAATGTGTTCATTTATTTCATAGCACTTAGTGTATCAAGAATTATGTTAATAAACCCATGTTTTTATAGAGCTTGGGAATTCAGCAGGCATTTTCAAATACACCATCTCATTTCCTCTCCGCCACAGCTCTGACAGCTTGTGAAGGTGGATAGTGTTATCTTCACATGTCTTATCACATCCCTGCTTATTTTGGTTAAGCAAGTAGGCAACTGGAAGTGTAAGACTGAAGAGAATCTTGCTGTAGATTGTCTTCTACGTGCACAGACACTCACACACCAACTTAAGAACCACCTTGCTGGTAACAGCAAAGGAAGGAGCAAGATCCAGTAGTCAGGGGTGTCCACTCTTTTGGCTTCCCTGGGCCACACTGGAAGAAGGATTGTCTTGGGACACACACGAAATATGCTAACACTAACAATAGCTGATTACTTTAAAAAAAAAAAAAAGGCAAAATAATCTTGTAATGTTTTAAGAAAGTTTACAAGTTTTTGTTGGGCTGCATTCAAAGCCAACCTGGGCCACATCCTTGTCCAATCCTGTGGGCCATGGGTTGGACAAGCTTGTGGTAGATCCTTTCAATTAGGGTGAAACAGCCCTGGTGTTTGAATTAAGAGACTAGAATTGGCCGGGCGCGGTGGCTCACACCTGTAATCCCAACACTTTGGGAGTCCAAGGCGGGTGGATGATGAAGTCAGGAGATCGAGACCATCCTGGCTAACACGATGAAATCCCAGCTACTTGGGAGGCTGAGGCTGCAGTGAGCCGGAATCACTTGAACCCGGGAGGCAGAGGTTGCAGTGAGCCAGAATTGCACCACTGCACTCCAGCCTTGGTAACAGAGCAAGACTCCGTCTCAAAAAAAAAAAAAGGAAGAAAAGAGACTAGAATTCTAGTCCTAGCTATTTTGTCATCTTTCTTATTTTTAAGCTCTTCATTTGTCCAGTGATCAGAGTTTTTTCTGGTTCTAAAAGACCATGATTCCAAATTTTTGTTAGTGACCTACATATATGCATGCATGCATACACATACACACATATGTATAGTGACTGTTGTACTGGGTTTACCTTTACAACAGGTAAAGGCAGTGTCTTGTAAGTATTACATATTTTATGAAAACCAAACAGGCTTTGTGTTTAAGTCAGAAGGAACATGTGGTTTACTTACAGTCTAATTTTCAGATGTCAGCACATTGAAATTCTTGATCTACAGGATAGATTCATATCTTTTCAGATACTAACTTTTTATGAGTATTCATTGGTTTTCCCTTTTGTTTGTGGATGTAACTTCACTGAGCAAAGACATAAAACTAATTTTTGGCCAGAAAAATTCTATGATGCTTTTTTTTTAAATGACCTATTTATATATATAGATTTACCAGGCTTTATGTTCTTGGAATCCAGTTTGTAGGATGGTTTGAGTCACGTGTTTGTGTCTCCTCAGATGACATTCCAGACTCTCCATCTAGCCCGAAAGTTGCCCTTCTTCCACCTGTCCTGAAAAAAGTTCCTTCAGACAAGGAGAGAGATGGCCAGAGTAGCCCCCAGCCCAGCCCCAGGACATTTTCACAGGAAGGTAAGGATTTCTTTTCTCTGGGTTAGCTCTCCCCAAGGAGGGACATTTCAAAATAAAGGAATTCATTTTGGACTTTACTAATATCTTAGAGTTTGTTAAAGTCAACATTCCTTGGATTAAATTTTTGGAAATGGAGTAGTTTCTTAGTTCAGAAACGATTCAGCATGATTGGTGACATTGGATCTTAATGACAAATGAAAAAAGCAGCTGAGATACCCAACCAAAGGTCTAACTTATTTGCAAGAGTAATTTCTAGATGCTTCTGAACTGACTTCCAGCATGTTAGAAGCTCCTTAAACATGATTTTATGACATATTTGGGGCTAAATATAGATTTCTGAGTCCCATTATTTTCAACGAAATCTTTTCCTACTTGTGGTAAATCACTACTGCAGTAGTTCTGCAGCAGCACCCCCGGGCCTGAGCCACCTTGCAGCTCACTCACGGTGCTCACTGAGTCACAAGGTCAGATGTTCCTCACTCTCAGAAGTGTGGTGCAGACGTGGACATTCTCAGGGCGACTTTGCACCAGTTTGCTCCTTCTAATTGGCTGAGGTAGAAGCACAGCAAGCTAATCCTGTGACAAGAATGCTTTCTTCCCAAATCAGATTGAGCTGTTACCAGTTACTATCAGAGGTGAGGCATGGTTGTGGCTTCAGCACCCATGCCATTTCTTTTAAATGTATGATTGACTTTGGGGTTCTGTCGTATGTAATGTATAGTGTAAATGCCATCTCTGAGCCCCACCTATAAGGAAATTCTAGAGCTACACAAGTTGTCTATACCCAGAAGGCTCTCATTGTGGTTTGGAGTTGCTGTGTTTTATTTTAGATTTATTTAATGCTTTAGAATCCTTTGATCTCTCTGACTGTTTTCTTCCTACAATGGCCTTTTTTCTTTTATTGATAATAGTATTGGGTTGAAGTTAATAGAAAGTGTTACTGAGCATAGTACTGTCTTTGTGGCTTGGAAATCTAATAAAAACAGTAACACTGCCTGCTTTCTCATCTCCATCCTACAGATTTATTTGTTGGGTAGAAGCTTTACTCACCTATTTGCTATAAATAAAAGATGGTAGGGTTGAGACCAAAGCTGCTAAACCACTTCTGCCAAATAGAGAAACTAAAGCTTTCGAAAAGTAGCTGGTATCTATAGTCACTTTACATGAGGTAAATAAATACAGGGTTCAGTATTATAACCGAAGCCTTTGGAAGACTTGGTATAAAAGGAAGGACCTTTGGTGGTGCCAGCTCAGAGAGACTTGAGCCGGCAGGTATTTTCTGACAGTCCAGTTCTCACCACAAAGGGCCTCCCCCATTCCTACCCTAATTTTCCATCCTTTCTGCAACTGCTAACTTTACGTCTTTACTTTTAAGGAAGTGTTGAAAATGCCCGAAAGAATTCAGTTGGAGAGAAAAAGAAAGGTGAGGAAGGGATGGTAGTGCTAAGTAGGAATGTTCATCTGTCTTGTCTGAAGCAATTGAAATATTGAAGGATTTACAAAAGTAGAAAAAAGATCAGAAGGTTGAATACAAAAATCATTCTTTTAACATTTCTGGAAAATGATGTTTTCTAGATGCCTATAAATGATCAAAACAGGGCCTAGAGTAACCACCAGCCTAACAAGTGCAAATATATATCATGGAGCCTCTCTAGTTAACAAAGTCAGGGAGATAGTGGATACTGCTGCAGGCTTTTAGCTGCTGTGAAAAAGTCGAGTGTTCTTTCCCCAGGAAGTTAGAGATAGAATGTGTTGCTCTTTAAATGTTTCAGAGCTTTAGGGGTGGATGTTTGATCCCCTTCCTCATCCGTCTCCCTCCCCTAGTAGCAAATCTTAGGAATGGCTCCCACGCCCTTCTTTCCAGTCGGACGGTAGGGATGGCTGAGCTGTGGAGACCATCACTTTCCCACCTGGGATCCAGAATAAGTTAATCAAAGACATCATCCTGATGTTATCACTTGGTATAGAAATTGGACTGAAAATATACATGAAGTCTGGGAACAGTCTGTAAATGTCTGAGGTAGTAAGATTTTGACTTTATCAGCTTGTCCGCTAAGGTGGCCCAGAAGTGGCAGCCATTTGTGAGTCCGTTTTCTTTATAAACTGTCCATATTGTGCTCATTTCTGTTTTCTTATCTGTTATTCATGCTGGTTACTTCATTTCCCTGTTCTTTGCCTCCCTTTGGACTAGCGTGCCCAACTAATTTCTGAAGCAGGTAAATTGCTATGATTCTTCTAGATTATTCCATAGTGAATGTGATTTTCATTAATCCATCATGGAATCAAAATGATAATACTGGGGCCTTTTTGTTAATACTTTTTTGGGGCAGAATCAGAGCTCACCTCATTTTGCACGACATTTCCATAATGTTGGCTGTTGAATTCTGTAGATAATGATGTATATCTGCCCAGGACCAGCACTGTAGGTTCCTTGAATCCTAAGTGGGGTGGGTAAGCTGATATTTAATTTTTAATATTTACATTTTTAAATATTAATGTCAACACATTGATGTATGTGCTAATATAAAGGGTAAAATAAATCCCTTTTCCTCAGTAGTGCAAAGAGGAGATTATTACAAAAGACATTCAGATCATGACAGTGGCAAGCCTTCCAGTAGAGGGAAAAGATCTTCAAAACTGTACTCCACCATTGCAGAAGAGGAAGTGAATGCAATTGGGCACAGGAAGTCACAGCCAACAAATGGTTAGAGCCTTCGATTATCATCCCTCACTGACCCAAAGCTTATGAACTGGCACTAACAAAAACAAACTGTAATTGAGTAAATTCTGTCGTGGGACTGGGTCATACAAGAGAGTCATACGAGAGAGTTTTTTTGTTTTTGGTTTTGGTTTTGGTTTTTGGTTTTTCTAAATGTCAACAGGATGGTCCTTTTATTTGGGATAAAAAATATTGACTTAAAAATCTGAAATTAGAAATTCTTATGAGGAAGATCAAGTTACTTTGGTGACTTGTCCTTTCAAATTTTTGTGATCATGCAAGTTTATTTTTATAATTGGGGTTAGACCTCCTATTCTCTTCCTTTATATCTTTACTCTCCTGTTAGGTTTCAACTGTGGTTGGATCAGAGATTCTTAGAATGACAAGAGTTTATATCCTTAGAGAATATTGGCCTAACATCTTACATTCTTTCAGAAAAGGATCAATAAAAAGTCACTGACTCAATGCAGACGTTGGGTCATGCACATGATCTTTCAGTGGACATTTTATCACCCTTTAGTAAGAAAGAAAAAGTACCAATTAACTTGTCAACCTTCAGGAACAATTTATTCCATTTTCTAGAAGTTTATCTCTGACGTCTGTCTTTCATTTGGCCCTGTAGTAAATTCTGTAATGTACTGTTCACGTGAGAACAATCCCAAGCGACAGTAAGGAGACAGATTTCAAATCAGCTTTGCCCTCCAATGGGAAATTTAAGAACAAGTATTGCTGACTCAGAGGAAAAAATGTCTTTTTTTGTGCCTAAAGTACTCATCTCCTCCCTGGTTAATACAATAATTTTTTTATAAATATGACTTCAAAAATCCATTAAAGGAAATCTTAGTACCTGTAAAGAATGTAACATATTCTGGTATGTGAGATTTCTTTAAAGGACTTCTGCTCTTGGAATGAGGCTCTTTTCTTTCTGTGAAACTATCAGGAGTTAATAGATGCATGTATTTAGGCTCCCAGGGATTAGGTGTGGCCCAGCATTCAGGCTGTAACACCATGCCCTTCACTGCCTCCCAAGAAAGCATTTCAGAATACAAGTTAATGGGAGTGACCTTATTATAGGGATACCTTCTCTTATTCTCTTACTGCAAAGGGATAAACTATTCTTGAATTTTCACACTTTACTATTGATAATAAACTTCTTGTGATACACTTCACAGCTTAACAGCCCAATGAGTTATGACACCTGAAGTGGGAACTGTTGTCTTTGAGAACGTTCCTTGATACAGGTTTTAAAACAAAAAAGCATCTACCAACTGCCTGCCAGGGACAATGTTTGGAGCCTGCCTTCTCAGCCAGTGCCGTGGGCTCAGCCACGTGTGCTCACTTGCCTGGGGTTCCAGCATGTACTAGCTAGGTGGCGGGGTGGGTTAAAGATACCTCTCAGAGCATAAAGCAAAGTCTGCAGGACACATAAGGATAAAACATTCTGCTTGGGCTGGGTAGCTCCTGCCCTAGAGAAAGCCAATTGAGTTGACCCTTTACTTTTACAGAATTCCTATGTAGTGGATTTGTTTATAGATACATAGTTACAGTAGCTCCTCTCTACAAGAAAGTTTCCCTCATATTGCCAAGAAAATCTCTATCTTCAGTCCTAGAAAAGTTACATAAATGAACACCTAAGACATTTATTTTCTGACGAGTTATTTTTGAGAATTTATTAGGCCAGAATCTCTGTCTCTATCTTGCCCCTTTTGTTAAGGGCACCTAAGGTTGCATAGATGTTTCTGGATTCTGGAGCTTTACATTTGAACTATTGTTTTCATTGACTTATATTACTTGATTATTAACAAAGCATCATTGATGCAATGTTCCTTCTTCAAGAGACCACTAAAAACACTTCATACAAAACAAAAAGAGATGCTCCCCTGCCACCTGCTGCCCAGTGCCTATTGATCATCCAGTGAGGCTTTGCGTTAGAGTAAAAAGAGGATAAACACAGAGATAACCCACATTATAGAAAAGCAAGGAGAAGAGATTCTATATCTGTCTCAGATTTGTTCATAACCTCTTTAGCTTAAAATTCTCATTGTGAGGAGCTGGTCAAATTTTGATGGAATTAAATAGGACCATCTTGTATTTACTTTTCTGCTTTGATTTCTTGAAATAATGACAGGCATTAAGAAGTAATTTTTACAGAAGCTTCAATTAAAGTGATTTTGTGCATAATATTTTAATTTTGTTTTGTTAGTGCCGATTCCTAGCACTTGACTGTCTTCACCTTTGAGAATTGAGTAGCAGTCTGCTTTCTGAATAGTTCCTGCTTAAAAAAATAACATTTAGCGGATTAATTCTATTAAATAATTGCATGTACTTTCTTTTAAGTCTTTTAAGAGCAGCTTTGTTTACGCTAAAACAGCCTTATTTTCCTAAAGTATGTATTCATGAAACAAACAGAGGCTATTGTTCTCAAATATTGTTCTCAAAGCATGCTGCATATTTCTATCATGAATATTATGTTTTGTGTGGCTATTATATTGATTTGACAGACAAAATGCTTAATTTCTTTTACTAGAAATATTTGTAAGCACATCTTTTTCCATTTCATATTATTTCCTCTCTGCATTTAATTATATGTTGTGATATTTTTATAAGAGTATATCCTATTTTCTTGAAGAAAATAGTTGATTTTGGCTTTGAATGCATTGTAATGGCCCCTGTTTGTACAGGGCATCTGATTCTAAGATTCCTTTTATATATCACTTGCCTCTTCCATAATCCAAGCTACAGCCAATAAATACTTGGCTGTGACTTGCAGTCTGTAAGCCAGTGCTCTGCTCTACTTTTTCCACCAGATTCAAGTTCTGCTCCCACTAAGTGAGTTCTTAAAGATAAATTTAACAGTTGGCATGTTGGGCTCTTGCTAGAAAGTATAAAAAATCAGGGCCAACTACTGAATACTATTTTCAGGTCATCATAGTGTTTTTCTCCTGGAAAATACGGATGTCAATGGAGCTTACAATGGAGAAAATACCAAATTTTCATATGATCCTCTAACTCTGCATTTATATGCATGTTTCAGAAGCTTTAAAATTATCACATATGTGCAATATCAAATCATCTTCAAGAATGACAGACTTCATGTTCGAGCCTCTCTGTACCAGTTATTGCCACTATAGACAGGATGTGTATATACATGGAGTGTTTGTGTTGAATAAATTACCTGTTCATTTACTTGAGTATCTTCTATTAGTTAACTTTAATGGTATTTAAAATAGTGATAAATATGTATATAGACACATGCATAGAGATGCTCCAGCACTCTTAACAAATACTTGCATTGAAGAAGTGTTTGTGAAACAACTGGATTTTTTTCACCCTGTGTAAAAGCAAGCATTAATTCAAGCTGCCTAAGAGGAGGTCTGTCTGAATTTGTAAAACGTCTAAATCTTATAAATATTTTAAAAATAAATTCTAGCCAGGCACTGTGGTTCACATCTGTAATCCCAGCACTTTGGGAGGCTGAAGCTGGAGGATCACTTGAGGCCAGAGGTTTGAGACCAGCCTGGGCAACAAATGAGTTGTCTATACAAAAATAAAAATAAAAAATTAGCTGGGTGTGGTGAGAAGGTGCACCTGTAGTCTGCGCTGCTCTGGAAGCTGAGACAGGAGGATCACTTGAGCCCAGGAGTTTGAGGCTACAGTGAGCTATGACTGCGCCACTGAATTCCAGCCTGGACAACAGAGTGAGACTCAGTATCTATAAATGAATAAATGCTTGCATGCATACATACATACATGCATACATTCTGGAGTTTTAAGTTTCAAAAGGACGTAATTCTATTGAGACCATCTTTTAATAGAAGCCTGACTAAACCTACTTCAATATAGTTGTAGTCAACATCTTAATTACATGCAATCAAATGGATGTTCCCTTAAGGGCTGGAAAGCAAACAGCAAAGAACATTCCCCCTACAAAGTTGTTCACATTAGGCATCTGGACTAATAAGGCTGGAGACTAGAAGACCAAGTGCTTTGACCTTCAAACTCATCACATTAATTGCATAACTTTAAGTCCTTGATCTCGCTGTGCCTTAATTTTCCTGTCCTTGAATGGTGCTTACCTACTATAGTAAGAACATGTCAGCCTGGTACTAGTCTCATTATCACATGCACATTCACAGTTGGTAGAGTTTAATCAATGGAGGTGAATATAGTTAGAATGAATTTCTAAATAAAGTCACCACCATAGTGAAATTCTTTGACAGCCCTCTTGAAAGTATATATTATTTTTCCTCCTACAATCCCTGAGTCTTGGAGAATTCGGAAGCCCAGTGTCAGTGACTCAAAAGAATCAGCATTTAGGTGGAGACTGAAGGACAACCTGCTTTTAGCAGGAAGATTTATATGTTGGATTTCTTTGAATTTTAATCATGCCTGCTCTAATGACCCTGGTCTATAGGGTTATCTCAGTTTTTCATCTGTGACATAAACATTTTTGGTTTCTTGAATTTCTCCATTTTTAGAAAGTACTCTTATGTCATGTCATAGAACATGAGTTAGACCCAAGATTGCCAGGAAACAAAAATATTGGGAAGAATGGAAAGTTTGATTATCCTTTAAATCTAAGAATTAGAACAAATATATTTGCTCTGAAGACAAAAGAGCAGTATATTGTATTTGTTTCTTCCCTTGAACCTGTAGTGTATTTTTGAGTCATTTAATATAGAGGAAGAACTTATTTTGGTTTTAAAACAATGAAAAATATTTTCTAGACGATACCAAAGGAAATACTCTAGTTTGAGGTTGGGTTTATTGTAAAAAGTTTTCAGGATGAAGATAATACAAGTCTTCCCTACTTTCTTTTGTTCTTAGTAATTAAAGGATTCTTTGTCTATTAGTATCAAATTGGTTTTGTGATAAAGAGCAAAATATTTATAGATATTTATGCACCTTCATTCTCCAAACCTGGCTTACTGACAGCTTTGAAAGGACAAGTGCATTTAATTTTTTTACCCAACACAAGTGCATTTAATTTTTTTACCCAACACAAGCTTAAAAGTACAAGCTTAAAAACACAAACTTAAAAATAGAAATTGCACTTCAGTTTGGGTGATAGAGCAAGACCTCATTTCTAAAAAGAAAAGAAAAAATAATAGAAATCAATGATAATATTTGTTTGTTGCTTTCTTCCCCCGATTTGAGAATTTGCCTGAATCTGTTGGACAAAAAGAAGTCATAATTTAAGAAATTACCTACTTTTATTATCAGATTTGAAAGGTTTTTTTCTTTTCAGAGTTTTGAGTCATTTCAATTTAATGTCATTAACTAAAAATTTAAATTTTTATTGTCTAAATAGCAGAATCTGGCTCTAATACCAGTATTGGCAAGAGAAGCACTCTATTAGGTTTGCATTTTGACTATTAGGTTTAATGAGCTTTCACTTCCTGAAACACTCTTCAGTGGGTTCAACATTTTAATAGCCAGCTCCTGGCAAGATGAGTTTTGTTTTTTTGGGGGTTTTTTTTAGCAGAATGCAAAAATCAAGTGATTAGAAGCATCAAGTGAATCCTATAGCTTTTGAAGGACTGATACAGTGTGTTCCTGGTTAGATCATTTGAACTTCCAAGTGATGAGGTAGCTGTACTCTTCCTTCAAGCTGGTACAAAGTGTATAGGTTTAGTATTTTTAGCTCAAGAACTGTCTATACAATAGACAAGATGAATAGTATTTAATAATCCTTAATAGCTATGCTGGAGTACAGCATCCGAACCTTTTCCCAAGGTATCACAGCAGTGAAGCCATGTTGTAGTTGGAAAGACCATAGACTTTGGAGAGACAGATCTAGTTTAAATCCTGGTTTCAAGTTTTACAAAACCTACCTTACAGAAGGTAATTGTGAGGAATAGCGATAATAAAACAGAGAGTGCCTGACACATAACAGAGGCTCCGTTTCAGTAATGATTCTCCCACCGTTGCTTTATAAAGCCTCAGTGGATTCTTCAAATTTGTGTGTAATCAGAGCAGGCAACAATAATGGTAATGCTTTTACCTGGAGGGTGATTCCAAAATGGTTGATTGTGTCATAGACAATATTTAATGCATTTTCACTAGACTTTACAGTATTTATTTCCTAGAGGGTGAAACTGAGGTTTTCTGAGTCACAGAAAGGTCTGACAAAGACTCCTGAGGCCTTTGCTGATATCCTGCCCCACAATCAGGAATGACAAACCCCAAGTCATCTGCAGAAGGCATCGAATGGGACATCTGTCAGCCCAGCATCTCCTCAAGGCTCTGTCTGCCCTGTTCTCTCTGCTGCATGAGGGGGCAGCTACGACTGAGGAGGTCACCTGGGGCAGAACCACTTCAAAGCCCTCCTCCCTCCTGGCATCTCCCTCCACTTCCCCGCCATCCTTGCCTGGGGGGTCCTCACCTCAGATTCTTGCCCACATCTATGAGAGGTTCACCCTGTCATAGACTGTGTTTTTGTGTGTGTTTTCTCTTTTTGTTTCTGCTTTGTTGGTTAGTTTTACATTTCTGTCTAGAGTCTCTAAACATAATAGCAAGTTTGTTTCTGAGAAAGTTCACGCTGTTCCCCTCTCCTCCCGCAAACATTCAAGGCTACTGCATCTCAGCCCATTGTCAGTCAGGCCAGTGGTGTTATTTTGTCAATAAACTGTGCGACTTTTCTTTTTATTTCAGTTTCAAGGAGAAGCTGGGGCCAGCAGGCCCAGGAGTATCAAGAACAAAAGCAACGGTCCTCCAGTAAAGATGGCCGTCAAGGCAGCAAATCTAGTGACTCTGGAGAAGAAGCAGAAAAAGAGTTTATTTTTGTGTAAAGGTCACCCACGCAGAAGTCTTTCTGTGCAGGGTGCTTTGGTAGCCATCAGAGAGGAACCAAGGGCACCACCTCTTCTTCCCAGGCGTTCTTCTCTCGGTGCTTTATTCTCTTCTTTTTCTTTATTTCTCCCCCTACCCCCATCCCCTGCTTTTTTTTTTTTTTTTTTTTTTTTGTATAGAAACAGATCCATTTCTTGGTAATCAAATCACATTTGTTTGGTCTTCCTCCAACCCTTCGCATTTGATTTCTGAACATTCCTTCATATGCCTTTAATGAAAGCCAGCAATTATCCCATGGGCCCTACTTGAATTTCTCTGAGGCAGCTACAGATTGCCCTGCAAGATGAGTTTTTGGAGATAAATGAAATAACTGGACACACACTCACACAAGTAACACCACAGCAAACCTCAGAGTACTGCTGAGTGTACCTGTGTCAAATCCACACAGGACTCAATATAGCAATTTATTCTTGATGTATGCAATTGCACATTGTAATTATATTAACAGAGCACACTAATAATTTGTATAAATTATATATATTAGATCTTGGGTATGGTTTTTACCTTCTCCCATGGGGAACTTCTTCCTTCCTGATGTGGAATTGTACATTTAAAGCTTGGTCGGTGACCTTTGCATACCGTCAACGAGCACAGTTAAGAACAGAGTGAGAGAGGCTTGCGGCTGATTTTACCATGTGCCCAGATTAATGTATATAGTTGATTGGAATGAGGTTTTATGAATATTCATGTTTTTGAAGGCCTTTAATTTCTGTCTGCATATTAGCTTTTAATGTGTGATTTTAAGAGAGAATACTTTGACACCTGTAAAAATCAAAATACTACTCTTTATAAGACATTTCACAAATATTCACTTACATTACAGGCTGGAAGTATTTTATTCATATGTATATTTATACCAATAAAATGATTTTACAAGTGGAATTGGGGCCTTCTCCAGTTACATTTTTAGTTTGGACTGGCTCAGGGTGGTGAACTTTGGTTTTGTTTCCAAAATCCAAAATAATCAATGTTCTCAGATAAGCAATCTGGGAACCATTACCTTCAAAATAAAGATCACTTACCAGTGCCACTGCCTGTTTTCACCCTTGGGAAAAATGATAGAATTTACCAGAAGAATATAGAATTATGAGTTTGATCCAGCTCCCATTACCATGCATAAGGGTCATACGAGGGATGCAAGTGTGAGCGAAGAAGTGTGATTTGAAGAGTTGCAAGCAGTGGTTATCTATTGGAAAGAAGAATGATAGAAGGTGGGGTTGGCATGACATGGCTATTTCCCTCATCATCCTCCACTAGCCCTCTCCTCAACTCAGGTGCCTGGCATATGAGTAAGTGCCCATAATGTAGACCAGATGGTTTGCTGCCTTTGCGTGACTTCATGAGGGCAGAAAGACACAAGATTGCTTCCTCCAGCTGTAGCTCTGCTGTCATAAAACAGAAAGTGCTCACAGAGCAATCAGGTTCACATTCATTTAGAATGCTATGTGGTAAAAGGCACACATGCTGCTGGTTAGCACTTCTCTCTGGGTTTCAGCATGAGAACTATTCTCAAAGAGAGAGTCGAGAGAAGCCCAGGTAGTGAATAGCCTTGGTGCTTTATTATGGAGTTGGATCCTGATTCTATGCAGTAGGAGCCATTGCATTTTTTAAAGCAATAATGCAATCAGAGCTAAGATTATAAAGGTAAACCCTATAGACTAGAGGTAGGCATCCAGTGAAGTGGCTGAGCAAGGATTCTTAATTATTTTCCCTCTCCTTATGGTGGTCAAGAGGTGCCCACTCAGATGCTCCTTTAAGAGAACTTGGCTATGGGGAGCACGTGGGGGCCGACCCTGGCTACCAGCTTCCAGCTGCAACACCTTCAGACCCTCTACAGTGGTCATGCTGCGGCTAGGCCACCCCCATTCTCCCTGCCAACCTCCGAGGATGGTTGGTTCGCTAGAGCTGCCCAACACAGGACTCTACTGAGCAACTTTTGCTCTAGGGCCCTCCTCTGGTCTGGCCAAGGCTTTCTCAGAGCTGCACCAAAGCTCTCCCTACCTACATCTCCTTTCCTCCTTCCCAATCTTCTTTTACAGGTGATCAACCTGAATAAGGTCTGAAGGCACTCCCTGCTACTGCTCCCTCCACTTTTATCCTTCACAGCGATTTCCCCCAGTAAATAAATATTCTGCGGTCTAATCCCATCTGGGCACATGCTTCTTGGAGAACCTGAACTGACATACTTCTCCATATTCTGTCACTGTAGATCAAGAATACCTGCACTTTGGGAGGCCAAGGTGGATGGATGAACTTTGAGATAGGGAGTTTGAGACCAGCCTGGCCAACATGATGAAACCCCATCTCTACTAAAAATACAAAAATTAGCCGGGCTTGGTGGTGGGTGCCTGTAATCCCAGCTACTCAGGAGCCTGAGGAAGGAGACTCGTTTGAACCTGGGAGGCGGAGGTTGCAGTGAGCTGAGATCACACCACTGCATGCCAGCCTGGGTGACAAAGACTCCGTCTTAAAAAAAAACTACACACATGGAAAGTCAGCTTTACCATGTACATCTGCTGTGCTGGTGACTAGCAGATCTTTCCTCAAAATGTGTGGGCCTTTGTGTTTGTTTTGTGAATATATTATAATTTGTGCTATGTCCCTGAAAGAAAGGTGCCCTTAAGGCAGAGTGGACTAACTGACTTCTCGACGCCCTTTGGGATTTTGACACAACAGATACCACTTTGATTCCCGTTACCCTTGTAGAGTGCCAATAGAATTGAAGAGAACCATTCTTGCATCCAGGAACCCAGTGAAGCTAAGTGCTGGAGCAGCAGTGGAGCCCATCAGGAGCTGCAGGTCCCAGAGAGCCCACTCGGACCAGGCAGATGGCGGTGGGGGGTGCTGGTCATGGAGCAAGGGTTGAAGCCTCCTAGAAAACCCCTAGAATACTGAACCACACATACTCTTTTTTCTGTTTGTGCCATGCACAAGACCTAAATTAAGAATGAGAAGGTTTCCAGCTGCATCCATGTCCCTACAAAGGACATGAACTCATCCTTTTTTATGGCTGCATAGTATTCCATGGTGTATATGTGCCACATTTTCTTAATCTAGTCTGTCATTGATGGACATTTGGGTTGGTTCCAAGTCTTTGCTATTGTGAATAGTGCCGCAATAAACATATGTGTGCATGTGTCATTATAGCAGCATGATTTATAATCCTTTGGGGAACTGAACAATGAGAACACTTGGACACAGGAAGGGGAACATCACACACCGGGGCCTGTTGTGGGGTGGGGGGAGGGGGGAGGGATAGCATTAGGAGATATACCTAATGTAAATGACGAGTTAATGGGGGCAGCACACCAACATGGCACATGTGTACATATGTAAGAAACCTGCACGTTGTGCACACGTACCCTAGAACTTAAAATATAATAAAAAAGAAAAAAAAATTTTTTTAAATGCAGACTGTAAAAAAAAACAGAAACACAAGCACAAAAAAGAATGAGAGATTTCATAATCACCTCTCGGATATACTAAGCAGGGGCCAAATAATCTAGGAACTGTTTGATCATTTATTTTGGGAATGCATACATTGTGCAGCTTTTGAACAGGCTGACTTTCCAATTTTATTTTTCTTTACCATTGGTCAGTATGGGTCTACTAGCACAGGCCATTGGCCAGCAGTTGATCAGGCATGTGTCAAGTGTTGGAGAGAACTCAATCGCAATTAAAAATTGGCGACTAAAAATCCCAGAAGAGGATAACAGGCACGTGCTTCAATTAGGAAGGGGCAAACAGCATGCAGTGGGTAAGATCTTCTCATGACTTTGACCCTGCCCTGTGTTGGCTCATTTCCCCAGGTGATCCAGTTCCTTTTGTTGACTATTCACTGTAACACTCCATTTGCAAAACAGCATTCCCAGAGAAAACAGCTTTTCAACTGAAGGGAAAACAATATAAATATAAATATATATATATACACACATACACACACACACACATATATATATATATATTTTTTTTTTTTTTTTTTTGCAGAGAAGAAATAAATGGATTGCAACAGGAAATCTCAGTAGGCAGGACGGCCCTGATTTTCAACTGAGACATTACACCTGTTCTCAGTCCCAAGTGTGAAAATCCTAAATTGAGGTGGCCTTGAAAGGATATTTCTGTTTATCACTTTTTTACTTGCTAGATTGAAAGCACTGCCCCAGTGTGGCCCTGCAGTAAAAACGATGTGGCCTTTATTCATTCTCAGTCTCTCTTTTACATTTTCCCTCAGAGCAAGAACATGAACCAATGCCTTCAATAGCTGTAGTGATGCTGGCCTTCATTTCTACTCTTTAAAAGGTGCTAAGAAAACAGTAGAGGTTTCCTAGATGCTCACTGTTGTCATTGCCATGTTTAGGGTCCTGCTTTTCCTAAATTATTCCAAATAGAACCCTACCTTCCTAAATTCTTTAGCCCAGAACCCCACCCCTTGGCCAAACTGCTAAAAACCAGAGCAAGGAGGCAAAGTAGGGAACACAAAGAGCAATGGAAGGAGGATAATGTTTCCTCTCCCTCTTTCTTGTGTTTTGATTTTTTGTTTGTCTCCTGAGGTTTGATTGAATGAGGCAAAACTAACTAAAAGCCATGCTTTGAGGCAGCCTGGTCTCTCCTCCCCTCTGATGGTATAGGCTGGGCAAACTGTCTGCTCAGTGAGCCACATCATTTTAACATCTCAGCCTTCTGTGACTCTTGGCTCACACGTCACACGTCACAAAGCTGAGAGTAGGAGAAGTCTCCGTTCACTGAAATGGGCCATAATTTAATCTGCTGATGCTATAATTAAGGTGAGTTAAGAGCTATGCAGTGTTTGCATCACATACAGACATAGGAGAATGGGGGAATTCAGCTTCTGTGCAAATGGTTATCATTGGCCCAAAGCCAAGGTGGTCTGCCTGGGTTTTGAAATGTTGATCACTGTGTGCCACTGCCACCAAAATCACTAAGTCTCAAAATGTAAGGCAAAACATTTGGGATGTACAGATTGCATCTCAGAATTTCTTAGTCTGAGGTCAGATTGTATGTTATTTCATAATCACAAATTAAATGTGTAGCTTCCTTCCCTTTTTAGGGCAACATAATAGAGATTAAGTCTCTTAGCCACACTTGAAAATCTATCTCATGAATTAGAAACTCTCCCTAGTCAGAGATTTCTTGAACTCATTAGAAACAAAATGTGTTTTCTCCAGGGGGACTGACCTTGCTGTTATTGGGTGGTGGCACATTTGAATAAGACCAGGGTAATCCATTTATACTTTCCAATTACAGTTTGTATTAGGTTTAACTCAAAGTGAAGCCATCACTTACACTGTGTACACACAGCTTACACTGGGGCCTGTTTCATGCGTCCACACCCAAACCACTACTTTGTGGATTAGGCACAACTTTGCACCTCCCATGACATATAGTGATCATGAGCTCTCTTCTGACAGTAAGAGCATACACTTAACCATAGTCTCTGGAGGTGTGAAGAAAAGAATTATCTCAAAGACAGAAGCATTGTCAGGGTAGAGGCCACTTCAAGTTGCCTACCATGTGATCAGAGGGGCCTGGATGCAGAAAAACCACTGCTGGAAAGATGTGCTTGAACTTCTAGATGTTGAATCCCGGCAGAGAATTCAGACATGAACTGCACAGGGATTCTTCCATGCAGGAGTGTCCTTACCCATGGCAGTAAGGACATGGAAGAAGGGCCCTAGGTCTAGGTCCTGCGGAATGGGAGGTGTCGATGCAGGCAGGAGCTCATCTTGGGGACATTCCTAGACTGTTCCCAAAGGGTCAACAGGTCTCCCATGCTCTTCCCTCAGGTCCTCAGAGGAGGGGGAGAAAAGGCAGGCTGCTTTCCACTTACTGAGAGCAAAGAATTCAAATGGACTTTTGACCTG